ATACAAATTGATGTCCTTATGCTATGTAGCTGTTATCATTATCATTACCTGTTCAGTGATAGAGTCTAGGGAAGATGTTGCTTCATCATAGACCAGTATAGGAGCATCCTTTAATATTGCTCTTGCTATTGCAACACGTTGCTTCTCTCCTCCTATTAAAACATGTAGTATTATCAATACATGCAATATATATATAGTGCAGTGCATCATATTAAAAATATAGCTACAACTTAAGCACCATGAGTAGCAACACTTTCATACCTGACAATTTCAGTCCTCTTTCTCCAACCTGTGTCTCATATTGGAGTGGCATTGAACTAATGGTCTCCTTCAGACCAGCTGTGTCTATAGCCTCCAGTACTTCATCCTTGCTAGCACTTAGTCTCCCATATTGTATATTGTGAAGGATTGTGTTATGAAAGAGGACACAGTCCTGAGGGACAACACCAATAGCTCTCCTAAGACTATCAATTGATACATCACTTATGTCTTGATCTCCTATCAGTATCCTTCCTTGAGGAGGATCATAAAAACGATACAGCAATCGCACTATCGTGGACTTCCTATAAAAAGTGTGATAGGAGTAAAATTACTATTTTTAGCTCATTTTCTTACTGACCCAGATCCACTTCCGCCAACTATTGCAACCTTCTTTCCAGCTGGTACAGTAAATGAGAGACCGTTGAGTATATTCTTATCTCCAACATAACCAAATGAGACATTGTCAAATGTAACAGTGTTTGATTCTGGAGACAGCAGAAGATTTGGTGCATTAGGTTTTTCCTTATAAATGAAAGGGAATGACAGTAAATAAAAGGAAAGAAGATTAAGTAGCAGTAGATTAAGAGGAAAAAGAGACTGTCATACTTTTATTTGTGAGTGAATATTTAGTAAGTTAAACATTGTTTGCATATCAATCAGTGACTGTCTCACATCTCTATACACTGATCCCAAAAAATTTAGAGGCAAAGAGAGCTGAAATAGAAGTCCATTGACCATTACTAGGTCACCAACAGTGAGAGTACCTAAAAGCAAGAGTGGATAATAATTTGCTAAAAGTATAAAGCAAAAAAATAATGAAAAATAAAAGCGAAAAAAAAAGAAAAAAATACACCCCTGGTGGGACTCGAACCCACAACCTTTGAATTAGAAGTCCAATGCGCTAATCCATTGCGCCACAGGGGTCACGTTACAGGTGAGCTTCAAATCCGATTACTAATTCCTTTTCGCATACCTGATGTTATTCCATGACTGGCCATTAGCATTACAGCAGTCAGTGACACGCCAAAGATAGCATTCTGCCCAAAATTCAATGCAGACAGCGATGTAACCGTCTTTAATGAAGCATCCTCATACCTGGCAAGGACTTTATCATATTCATCTGCTTCATAAGCT